AGCAGTAATAAAGGTAAAGCAGTAATAGTTGCAGTAATAGTAATACAGCAGTAATAGTTGCAGTAGTAATACTGTAGCAATAGCAATAGCAGCAATACAGTAGTAGCAATAATTGCAGTAATAGTAATAGCAGTAATAGTTGCAGTAGTAACAATTGTAAAGTAACAGTAACAGCAGCAATAAGCTTGCAGTACAGTAACAGCAGCAACAGCTTGCAGCAAAGTAACAGCAGCAACAGTCAGCAGCAACAGCAACAGCGCAATAGCATTGTAGCTAACAGTAACAGCAGCAATAGCTGCAGTAGCTAACAGCTGCAGTAACAGCAATGCGAAATAGCTGCGTTGGCAATAGCTGCAGCAACAGCAATTGTTAAGCAATACTGCGTTAAGTAACAATTGCAGTAACAGTAACACAAGCAACAGCTTGTAGCAGCAATAGTTGCAGTAACAGTAACAGCAGCAACAGCTTGCAGCTAAGCAATAGCTGCAGCAACAGCAACAGCAGCAATAGCTGCAGTAACAGCAGCAGCAACAGCTGGGTAGCAGCAACAATCAGTAACAGCAATAAAGCAGCAGCAATAGCCAGTAACAGCAATGTACAAGCTGCGTTAAGTAACAGCTGCAGCAACAGCAATGGCAACAGTCAGCAGCGTTAACAGCTGCAGCAACAGCAACAGCTACAACATGCAGCAGCAACAACTGCAGCAACAGCAAAGTAAGCAACAGCGCAGGCAACACAGTAACAGCAACAGCGTTAACAGCAGCAGCAACAGCCAGCAATAGTAACAGCAGCAATAGTGCAGTAGTAAACGATAACAGTAACAGCAGCAATAGTTGCAGCAGCAATAGTTGCAGTAACAGTAACAGCAGCAATAGTTCAGTAGTAACAATTGCAGTAACAGTAACAGCAGTAACAGCTGCAGCAGCAATAGTTGTAGCAATAGTAAAGGCAATAGTTGCAGCAGTACAGTTGCAGTAATAGTAACAGCAGCAATAGTTGTAGCAGTAATAACTGTAACAGTAATAGCAGCAGAGCAGCAGCAATAGTTGTAGTAATAGTAACAGCAGTAATAGTTGTAGCAGTACAATTGCAGTAATAGTAATAGCAGTAATATTGCAGCAGCAATAGTTGCAGTAGTAACAATAGCAGTAACAGTAACAGGTACAGTTGCAGCAATAGCTGCAGCAGCAATAGTTGCAGCAATAGCAATAGCAATAGCTGCAGTAGTAATAACTGTGCAACAGTAATAAGCAGCAATAGCTGTAGCAATAAACAGAGCAATAGTAGAAGCAGTAATAGCTGTAAGCAACAGCAGCAATAAATAAGCAATACAGTAGCAATAGTAACAGCAGCAATAGCTGCAGCAGCAATAGCTGCAGTAACAGTAACAGCAGCAATAGTCAGCAGTAACATTGCAGTAACAGTAATAAAGGCAATAGCTGCGTTAGCAATAGCCAATAGTAACAGCAATAAGCGCAATAGCTGCAGCAGTAATAGGCAGTATAATAGTAATAGCAGCAATAGCGTAGTAACAGTAACAGCAGCAATAAGCTGTAGCAGTAATAATTGCAGTAACAGTAACAGCAATAGCTGTAGCAATAGTAACAAGGCAATAGCTGCAGCAGCAATAGTTGTAGCAATAGTAATAGCAGTAATAGTTGCAGCAGCAATAGTTGCAGTAATAGTAACAGCAGCAATAGCTGTAGTAATAATTGCAGTAACAGTAATAGCAGTAATATTGCAGCAGCAATAGTTGCAGTAACAGTAACAGCAGTAAATAGTTGCAGCAGCAATTTGAACAGCAATAGTAAAGCAGCAATAGTTGCAGTAGCAATAATTGCAGTACAGTAACAGCAATAGTTGCAGCAGTAATAGTTGCAGTAATAGCAATAGCAGCAATAGCTGTAGCAGTAACAATTGCAGCAATAGCAATAGCAGCAATATTGCAGCAGCAATAGTTGCAGTAATAGTAACAGCAAGTAATATGCAGCAGTAACATTGCAGCAACAGTAACAGCAGCAACAGCTGGGTAGCAGCAACAGCACAGCAGCAATAGCTGCAGCAGCAATACGTTGCAGTAACAGTAACAGCAGCAATAGCTGCAGTAATAATTGTAGTAATAGCAATAAGCAGCAATAGTTGCAGCAATAGCTGTAGCAGCATAATTGCAGTAATAGCAATAGCAGTAATAGTGCAGCAATACAGTTGCAGCAGCAATAGTTGCAGTAATAGTAACAGCAGCAATATTGCAGCAGTAACAATTGTAGTAATAGTAATAGCAGCAATAGCAGAAGCAGCAATAGTTGTAGCAATAGTTGCAGCAGCAATAGTTGTAGTAATAATAGCAGTAATAGTTGTAGTAGCAATTGCAGTAATAGCAATAGCAGTAACAGTAATAAAGCAGTAACAGTAACAGCAGTAACAGCTGTAGCAGCAAACTGCAATAGCAATGTTAAGCAATAGCTGTAGCAGCAATAGTTGTAGCAATAGTCATGTAGCTAATAGCTTGCAGTAATAGTAACAGCAGTAATAGTTGTAGCAGTAATAATGTAGTAATAGTAATAGCAGTAATAGTTGTAGCATAATAGTTGCAGTAAGCAGCAGTAATAGTTGCAGTAATAGTACAGCAATTGTTGCAGTAGTAAATTGCAGTAATGTAACAGCAGCAATAGTTGTAGCAGCAATAGTTGTAGTAGTAATAATTGCAGTAATAGTAATAGCAGCAATAGTTGCAGCAGTAATAGTTGTAGCAGTAATAGTTGTAGTAATAGTAATAGCAGTAAGTAGTAGTAGTAATAATTGTAGTAATAGTAGCAGTAATAGTTGCAGCAGTAATAGGTAGTAATAGCATAGCAGTAATAGTTGTAGTAGTAATAATTGTAGTACAGTAATAGCAATAGGTTGTAGCAGTAACAATTGTAGCACAGTAATAGCAGTAATAGCTGTAGCAGTAATAATTGCAGTAACAGTAATAAAGCAGTGTAGTGCAGTAGCAATAGTTGCAGTAATAGTAATAGCAGTAATAGTTGTAGTAATAAGCAGTAATAGTAACAGCAGCAATAGCTTGTAGCAGTAAAATTGTAGTAATAGTAATAGCAGCAATAGTTGCAGTAGTAATAACTGTAATAGTAAAAGCAGCAATAGTTGTAGCAGTAATAAGCCAGAAAGAGTAATAATTGTAGTAATAGTAATAGCAGTAATAGTTGTAGTAGTAACAATTGTAGTAATAGTAATAGCAGTAATATTGCATAGTAATAAAGCTGTAGTAGTAATAATTGTAGTAATAGTAACAGCAGCAATATTGTAGTAATAGTAATAGCAGTAATAGTTGCAGCAGTAATAATTGCAGTAATAGTAAAGCAGTAATAGATGAAAGCAATAGTTGCAGTGGTAATAGTTGTAGCAGTAATAGTTGTAGTAGTAATAATTGTAGTAATAGTAATAGCAGTAATAGTTGTAGCAGTAATAGTTGTAGTAATAGTAATAGCAGTAATAGTTGTAGTAGTAATAATTGTAGTAATAGTAATAGCAGTAATAGTTGTAGCAGTAATAATTGTAGTAATAGTAATAGCAGTAATAGTTGTAGTAATAGTAATAGCAGTAATAGTTGTAGTAGTAATAATTGTAGTAATAGTATATTGTATTGTAGCAGTAATAGTTGTAGCAGTAATAGTTATGCAGTAATAGTTGCGTAGCAATAGTAATACTTAGTAATAGTTGTAGTAATAGTAATAGCAGTATAGTTGTAGTAGTAATAATTGTAGTAATAGTAATAGCAGTAATAGTTGTAGCAGTAATAGTTGTAGCAGTAATAGTATATAGCAGTAATAGTTGTAGTAGTAATAGTTGTAGTAATAGTAATAGCAGTAATAATTTGTGCAGTAATAGTTGTAATGAATAATACTTGTAGTAATAGTAATAGCAGTAATAATTGTAGTAATAATAAGCAGTAATAGTTGTGATAATAGTTGTAGTAATAGTAATAGCAGTAATAGTTGATAGCAGTAATAGTTGTAGTAATAGTAATAGCAGTAATAGTTGTAGTAATAATAATTGTAGTAATAGTAATAGCAGTAATAGTTGTAGTAATAGTAATAGCAGTATAAGTTGTAGTAGTAATAATTGTAGTAATAGTAATAGCAGTAATAATTGTAGTAATAGTAATAGCAGTAATAGTTGTAGTAATAGTAATAGCAGTAATAATTGTAATAATAGTAATAGCGATATGTTGTTGTAATTATTAGTAATAGTAATAGCAGTAATAGGCATTAAATGAAAAAGCAGTAATATTTGTAGCAATAGTCTCATTATCATCATCATATAATTTCAATTTCTTTTATAAATATTTTCTCGTCAGATACATAAGCTGGATTTAATATATTCTTGTAGCGATGATTGTGACCCGGATATATATAGTAATTTATATAAGTTTATATAAATATTTGGGTATAATTCGAATATATGTAATAAAATGGTGTTATAGTGTAGTGAAGATGAATGGCACTATATCAGGTGGTGTTATAGTGAAGATGTATGGCACTATATCAGGTTGTGTTATAGTGTATAGTGAAGATTTATGGCACTATATCAGGTGGTGTTATAGTGAAGATGTATGGCACTATATCAGGTGGTGTTATAGTGAAGATGTATGGCACTATATCAGGTGGTGTTAAGATAGTGAAGATGTATGGCACTATATCAGGTGGTGTTATAGTGAAGATGTATGGCACTATATCAGGTTGTGAAGGATAAGAATATTAATATTTGTATATGAAATATTTAATAATATTAGTAAGTCATTTTACACACACTATGTACAGGCGGCCAAGGAATGTACAACACAGGGGGCGGGCGGTGAAGGTGGGCGGCCTCACCGGGACATGGAAGTGGGCGGTAGGGCGGCGGGTTGCAGCGGTGGGTGGACTGGAGCGGGTAGCGGCCGGCCTAAGTTGTGGGCGGCGAGGAAGGGCGTCACAAGGAGGCGAGAGAATGGTTCGGGGTTAAGGGCGGCCAACGGTAGTGATGGTATGGTGCTGGGCGGCACGTGGGCGGTATGGTGCTGGGGGCGGCACGTGGGCGGCATGGAGGGGGGCGGCACGTGGGCGGCATGGAGGTGGGGGAGGCACGGGCGGTATGGAGGTGGGGGAGGCACGTGGGCGTGGCATGGAGGTGGGGAGGCACGTGGGCGGCGTCGTTGGCGGTGAAGTGGGCGGCGGCGGTGACTTGTCTCTGCCCATAATAGCGTCAATGGTGAAGGCTGGCCGCGGGGAGGGGCGGGTGAGGGGCGGCGAGGGCGGTGTGGCCGCCACGGGCTTCACGGGCGTAGGAGTCACTACCCCGCCCATGTGGCCGCCCGCGGGGTGGGAGATGAGGGGCGCCCGCAGGTGCCTAAACACCTCTGCTTGCTGGCTGTAGGCAGGGTGGTGGTGGTGGTGGAGGTGGGTGGGCGGCAGGTACGGGTGGTGGCTGTAAGGCAGTGGCCGATGTAACATAGTGGTGTGAGGACCAAAGAGTGCCGCAGCCGCAGCCGCCGTTGCCGCCTGCTGCTGCTGTAGGTGGTGGTGGTGCTGGAGGTAAGGGTCGACCATACCGGTAGCCAGAAGTGACAACACGTGAGGGTCGTTGAGAAAGTCTGGGTGCTGTCTCTTGTACCGCTTGCGGCGCCTGAGGAAGGAGCCGTTGTCAAACATGTCAATGGCGCCCGGGTCAAGGGTCCAGTAGTTACCTTTGCCGGGATTGCCAGGCTCTCTGGGAACCTTGACGAAACAGTCGTTAAGAGAGAGGTTGTGGCGGATAGAGTTCTGCCAGGCAGGAAACTTGGCCTTATAGTAAGGGAACCTGTTCATGATAAACTCACAGATCTCACTCAGTGTTACTCTCTTCTTGGGCGCCTGGAGGATGGACATAGTGATCAGGGCGATGTAGGAGTAAGGCGGCTTTACAGGGCCTCCTCCGCCGTCGCCCGTCTTCTTGTCGTCGTCAGCGGCGTCTACCAGGTCGTGGCCGGGGTCGTCATCTACCAGGTCGTGGCGGGAGTCGTGGCCCAGCAGGTCGTGATCGTCGCTGTAGTGGGCAGGAGCAGCGTCGGCCTCCACCACACAAGACGACAAACTGTGAGCGTCGTCAGCCATCACCGCCTCACACACTGGCATAGTCTACCACTGGTGTGCGTCTGGCCCAACACACACACACACACGCGCACACACACACGTACACACGACAGACGAAGTAGGTGTGCACCCTCTCACCACCCGACCTGATAAATAATGATGACAAATACAAGACCGAGACCATTTTTACACCCGTCTCCGCCCAGGGCTCCTCCCACCTACCCTCAACCACCACTCACCAATCCCATCTTGATCAAATTACCCCGCCCAAACACCCTCTCCATCAATCACACCCGAGGTAGTTAAACAAGGACCCCACCCACAGCCCCCAGCAGCCAATGAGAGGAGCGGGGAGGGCGTGAGGAGGCGGGGCGTGAGGGGCGGGGCGTGAGGAGGGGGTGATCTGAACGCCCCATCCTCTGGTGTTTAGAGAGAGACAGGGCGTCATTTACCCATGAATTATTTGGTGGCGAAAATGGACCAGATCACTTTGAGGGCTGAATAAAACCATTATCCCCCGCCTCTAAAGTGCCCGTCCCTCCCCTCCCCCCCCCCCCCCCCACCGCCGCGCCATCACCCCTCACCGCCACCCCACGCCACCCCACGCCACCCCACGCCACAAACATCCGCGCCATTTTACTACAAAGAACAACTTAGTCCTCCCTCCCTTCCTTCCTTCCTTCCTTCCTTCCTTCCTTCAAAACTGTCCTTATATACACACACACAAATACACACACGGCTAGATACACACACAGAAATACACACACGGCTAGATACACACATACACACACACGAATAAACGTACACACGCATGGACGCACAGACAGTATAATAACGGTCTGGATTAAGAAACATACATAGTCATACGTACATATACGCACACGGTCATACATACATACACACACGCACACACACCAGGTATAAAGAGAGGATTATCCCCTGGCTACTGCTACCACAACTACCACCACCGTCACTACCACAACTACCACCCACCGTCACTACCACAACTACCACCACCGTCACTACCACCACAACCACCACCACTGCCACCATCACAACACTACCACCACCATCACTACTCACCACCACAACTACCACCACCACTGCCACCATCACTACTACCACCACCACCGCCAACTCTACCACCACCACTGCCACCATCACTGCCACCATCACTACTACCACCACAACTACCACCACCGTCACTACCACCACAACCACCACCACAACTACCACCACCACTGCCGCCATCACAACTACCACCACCACAACTACCACCACCACCGTCACCACCACAACCACCACCACCGTCACTACCATACTACCACCACCACCACCACCACCACCACCACCACCACACCACCACACCATGCTACCACCACCACCTCACTCACCACCACAACCACCACCACAACTACTACCACCACCACCACCACAACCACCACCACTGCCACCACCACTACTACCACCACCACAACCACCACCACCACAACCACCACCACCACCACCACCACCATCACTACTACCACCACCACCACCACCACAACCACCATCACACTACCACCACAACTACCACCACTGCCACCACCACTACTACCACCACCACAACCACCACCACCACAACCCACCACAACCACCATCACTACAACCACCACAACTACCACCACAACCACCACCACCACAACCACCATCACCACTACCACCACAACTACCACCACCACCACCACCACCACAACCACCATCACCACTACCACCACAACCACCACCACCACCACCACAACCACCATCCACTACCACCAATAACCTACCACCACCACCACCACAAGCACCATCACTACTACCACCACAACTACCACCACTGCCACCATCACTACTACCACCACGACTACCACCACCACCACCACCACCACCACCACAACCACCATCACTACAACCACCACAACTACCACCACTGCCACCATCACTACTACCACCACCACAACTACCACAACTACCACCACTGCCACCATCACTACTACCACCACCACAACTACCACCACCGTCAATACCACAACTACCACCACCACAACCACCACCATCACTACAACCACCACAACTACCACCACAACTACCACCACCGTCACTACCACACAACTACCACCACCGTCACTACCACCACAACCACCATCACACTTACCAATTACTACCACCATCACAACTACCACCACCACTGCCACCACCACTACCACTACCACAACCACCATCACTACCACAACTACCACCACCGTCACTACCACCACAACCACCATCACGACTACCACCATCACTACTACCACCATACCTACAACTACCACACACCACCACTCACCTACTACCACCGCCGCCGCCGCCGCCGCCACCACCACCATCGCCACCACCATCGCCACCACCACCACCACCGCCGCCACCACCGCCGCCACCACCGCCGCCACCACCACCACCACCACTCACCACCACTCACCACCACCACCACCACCACCACACCACCACCACTACCACCCTACCACCACCACCACCACCACCACCACCACGAATATGAATGTATTTACACTTTTCTATTTATCATCTCTCTCTCTCTCTCAAAACCCAAAATCCGTGAGAGAGAGAGAGAGAGAGAGAGAGAGAGAGAGAGAGAGAGAGAGAGAGAGAGAGAGAGAGCTTAATCACATATTCACAAGTGTTCTATTGACTGACTTCTGAGATGACGGGATTACTGTGAGGGGGGGCGAGTGAGGGGCGACTGAGGGGGCGAGTGAGGGGCGAGTGAGGGCTAAAATAGTAGTGATTTAGAACACACACACACACACACACACACAGAGAGCTACAACAAACTAAATTGGAAACCACACGTCAGTACAGTTGTCAAATCCTCCAGTTTCCGTCTCCACCTCCTCCGCCGACTCAAGTCCCTCGGAGTTCCTGCCCCCGAGCTCCTCAGTGTTTACTCAACATTCATACTTCCCAAGCTCACCTATGCCTCCCCAACCTGGTCTTCCTCCCTCAATGCCACACAACGTAAACACCTAGAAAAAGTGCAAAAGAGGGCATGCAAGATTATTCTCTCCCCTTCCTACTCCACATATCAAGAAGCGCTCAACACACTGACCCTTTCGACTCTCACTGACCATCACCACGACCTCATCAGCAAATTTGGTGAGAAGCTTCTGCACCATCCTCGACACCGGCTCCTACTACCACCTGAGATCCCTCGCCCGAGAATTGTTGTTCGACACCACAACCGCATCCAGCCCATACGAGCACGTACTGATCGCTATAAGAACAGCCCAGTCCCAACCATTGTAAATATTATCAACAACTTGTAATCAACCAGTGTATTCACTCCCAGTAAACACTACTCCTTGCACTGTCACTATGTTGAAATGCCCTGTAGTATGACCTTCTCCCCACCTAGTTATTATATATCATATTTGTATCACTTATGTTACTTGTATATTTTCACCCTTATGGCTGCCATAAGGGTGATTTTACACACACACACACACACACGCACACGCACACGCACACACACACACACACACACACACACACACACACACACACACACACACACACACACAGATAAAATAGAAAAACAAATTATTTAAACTCAAAGTATAAAAAAAAATTATCGGTGCCAAATATAAACCAAATTTTAAATTAGTTGAGTGAATCGCCAAACAAGTTTTTAATTCGATAATTTTAATTAAAAAGAAAAAACTTAGGTAATTATTGAGTTTAAATTATATAAGAATAATTGAATATTTGTCATTAGTTGAGAATTAAAAAAGTTTAATTATTTTTGATATTTTGTTAATAAATTTTTTTATTTAATTGATAAAAAACATATTTAATAATTAGTTTGAATTAATTATATATCAAAGTCGAAATTCTTAATTGTAAAGTAATTATTTGTGTCTTATAATTACTTGGAGAACATTATACGGATTTATAATCGATGTAATACTAACTTAGTGTTTATATGAAGATTATTTAAGGTTAGGTTAGGTTACGTTAGAGTTAGGTTGGGTTAGGTTAGGTTAGGTTACGTTAGAGTTAGGTTGGGTTAGGTTAGTGTTAGGTTGGGTTAGGTTGGGTTAGATTGGGTTACGTTAGAGTTAGGTTGGGTTAGGTTGGGTATCCATAATGCTGTTAATATCTCATCATTATTCTCTCATTAGTATCGAGAAATGTGTAAAAATATTTCTTTAAAGATAAATGAAAAAAAATTATGAAAATATAAAGTTTTCTTTAATATACAAAGATAATTAATTGTTGGCTGTGATCTCTCTCTCTCTCTCTCTCTCTCTCTCTCCTCTCTCTCTCTCCGTCTGTATGTTTGTTTCTCACTTTTACAACAACAGCAATAAATAATAATAATAACCCACCCACCCCACCCACCTCACACACCTCCCCACCCCACACCCCAACCCCACACACCTCCCACGCCCCCACAACACCCCCACACCTCACCCCCCTCACCCCCACACAACCCCACACACACAACCCCACACACACCCCTCCCACCCCGGCACACACAACCCCACCTCCCCACCCCACACACCTCCCCACACCCCTCCCAAACACCCCCACACAACCCCACCGCCCCACCCCACCCCTCCCACCCCACACACCCTCCCCACCCCCACACCCCCACACCTCCCATATGCTTTACTAAAGAGACGTAGAGAGGAAGACAAGCAGTAACAAATAAAGTGGAAATAAAGACCAGATAATGAGGAATAGAGAGAGAATCGATAAGACATAAGAGGCGTAGGGAGAGGAGGAGAGGAGAGAGAGGGAGAGGAGAGAGAGAGGAGAGAGAGAAGGAGAGAGGAGGAGGAGAGGGAGAGAGAGAGAGAGAGAGAGAGAGAGAGAGAGAGAGAGAGAGAGGAGGGAGAGAGAGAGAGGGAGGAGAGGTTGAACGGCCACTGAAGCTAAAGGTACTTTGAGTTGGTTCCCCTTCCCAACACACACCCCTCCCCCTTCAATACACACACCCTGCCCTTCAATACACACCCTGCCCTTCAATACACACCTGCCCTTCAATACCCCTGCCTTCTAATACCCCTCCCCTTCAATTTAAACTTCTTCCCCTTTAAATTCAACCCCTTAACATACA